AACAAACTTTTCCCAACAATCAGCAAGCAAATGTTTGGTGGTAAATGCTTAGATGATTATTTTCCTGGAGCATGACCGTACAGTTTAGTTCGGTTTGTTTTAAATATTCGTGCAAAGCTACACAAGGGCTGTCTGGGCTAGCCGTTTCTAATTTTGGACTGATAGATTATAGGAAGTGTAGCTAAGTCAAAAGCATTCATCCTGAACTCTTATAACGCCCTCAAAGCCCCAAATTTCGAAATGCAAATGTTTTTTTCAACAACGGACTTAAAATCAAAAACCTTCTGATTCACAGTTCGAGCGAGTGTGCTAACCATTAAGCAACATCTCTCTAACGAAATCTTGTCTGTGCAATCAGTGCGGACTGTGGATCCGGGGGTCCATTATTGGCGTCCTTTTGCCGAAATAAAAATCGTTCTTCGCAGTTTGAGACCGTGCAGAGGGGGGGGGCGTTATAAGAGTGATAGTCAAATCCAACCATTCGATAATAGTAGGTCAAAAGTTGCCTGTTGAATAGTTACTTTCCCTCTTGTCTGTCAGCTTACTTTCAAGGTTTACTGAGCAAGCTTTCAACTCCTCTTTTCAAACATACATAAATAGACTTTTCTAAGTATGTGATATTTTAGGAAAATGTTATATAAACATTTTCTTATTTATTATGTGTAATATACTGGAGTGGCAGATGATGTATTATTATTTTTGTAAATACGTTCTTCACATGCATGCACCAAAGAGAGTACAGTCTGCTCAATAAATATTAAACCTAGAAATAAAAATCAAATACAGTAAAGTTCGAGAAGTCTTTATGTTAACAGTCTCATTTAAACTATGTTATATCTACAGTGAAGTTTGGGAAGTCTTTATGTTAACAGTCTCATTTAACTGGTGTTATGTTTACAAAAAAAGTTCAGCCCATTTAAATTGTGTCATGTTTAAAGTAAAGTTCAGCACGTCTGTATGTTATCAGTCCCATTTAAATGGTACCATGTTTACAGAAAAGTCAAGAAAGTCTTTATGTTAGCAGTCCTACAGTAAAATTCAGAAAGTCCATATGTTAGCATTCCAATTTAGATAGTGTTATATCTACAGAAAAGTTTAAAAAGTCTTTATGTTAACAGTCTCATTTACATTGTTTTATGTTTACAATAAAGTTCAGCAAGTCTTTGTCTTAACAGTCCCATTTAGATGGTGTTATATCTACCGTAAAATTCAGAAATTCTTTATGTTAACGGTCCCATTTAGATGGTGTTATATCTACAGTAAAATTCAGAAATTCTTTATGTTAACAGTCCCATTTAGATGGTGTTATATCTACAGTAAAATTCAGAAATTCTTTATGTTAACAGTCCCATTTAGATGGTGTTATATCTACAGTAAAATTCAGAAATTCTTTATGTTAACGGTCCCATTTAGATGGTGTTATATCTACAGTAAAATTGAAAAAGTCTTTATGTTAACAGTACCGTTTACATTGTCTTATGTTTACATCAAAGTTCACCAAGTCTTTGTGTTAACACTTTCCTTTAAATAGTAGCGTGTTAACGATAAAGCTTAGCAAGTCTTTATTTTAATAGTTTCCTCTAAATATCGTTTTGTTTAAATTACAAATTAGCAAGTGTTAATGCTAACTGATTCTTTTTAATGATGTCACGTTTACAGTGTAGATTAGCAAGTCTTACAGAATAAGAAAAAGAATTTATCAAATGAATTTCATGTTAACCAAGACAGACTTTGTGCATTTTTACTATTCTGATCTATAAAGAATAATACGCTAATAGGGTTAAAATCTTCATAGACCTTGAAGCTGAGGAAGCAAAGAAGTACAGGTGATCTTAATCGGAAAGAAGGATCATCATCTTTCCGAAGTACAAGATCGACAGGAAGCTCGGGTAGTTCCGAGTACAGTCCATCCGGCTTGACCAGAACCTCCGGCCGTACGGATTCCAGTGTCAGCTTTGTGAGTCAGGATGACGTCATGGATACTAATGTCGTAGAGGCGTACATGGGCGAATGGAAGAACGACAAGCGGTGTGGTTTCGGTATTTCGGAACGTTCAGACGGGCTGAAATATGAAGGCGAATGGTATAACAACAAAAAGTATGGCTACGGTGTTACGTCTTTTAAAGATGGGACCAGAGAGGAGGGCAAGTACAAAAACAACATTCTCTTGACCTCAGGAAAGAAAAAACACTTGTTCTTGCTCAGGTCAACTAGGATTCGTGAAAGAGTAGTAGCAGCAGTTAACGCCGCAGTTAGGGCTTCACAACTAGCTCTACAGAAGGCTGATATTGGCATATCAAGGTAAGGGATATATTAATTTATTAAGAATGTGTATTGAAACATCAAGGTAAGGGATATAGTAATTGATTAAGAATGTGTATTGAAACATCAAGGTAAGGGATATAGTAATTTATTAAGAATGTGTATTGAAACATCAAGGTAAGGGATATAGTAATTGATTAAGATTGTGTATTGAAACATCAAGGTAAGGGATGCAGTAATTGATTAAGACTGTGTATTGAGACATCAAGGTAGGGGACATAGTAATTGATTAAGACTAGATATTGACACATCAAGGCAAGGGACATAGTAATTGATTAAGACTAGATATTGACACATCAAGGTAAGGGACATAGTAATTGGTTAAGACTAGGTATTGACACATCAAGGGAAGAAACATAATGGCTATCAGTACCATTCTTAGCTAATGCACGATATCAAGCAGCAAGACTGCCAAATCACACTAGCCACTCACAGGATGTCAGTTTGCTGGAAGGTTAAGGGGAACTTGTCCCCTCCCCCAGATTTTTTAAAAATTAAGACCTAATTGGTTGCCTGTTATTTTAATAGATTAAACAACTGCGATAGCAAAATAAATATATGATTTTTTTTTTCGTAACAGTGCGAGGATCCAAAAAGCACGAAGCCCCAAACAATCGCTTGTCTTGGTTGTTCTTAAAGCAAGCACTGGCAACTGTTTAAAAATAACCAGTAAGCTCAAACAGTTAATTATTATTCACCAAATGAAAATGTTACCAAGAATGAATACAAAAGTAGCAATGCTACTGTAAGATAAGTTCAATAATACATCACGTGACTTGAATTAGTAACCAAGAAACACGCCACGGTAGGTATAATTTTTACCAAGAAAAGGTCAACTGAAACAACAAAAACAAATACACTATTGGTTCTACGAAAAACAAAATGGCATAACTTAAACTAACATGAAAGGGGCAAGCTCGTCGTAATCCCAGGTTTACGAATAAAAGTTTGATGAATATTAAAGATGCAGCGCGGCTTTAGGCTGACGTTTATTACACATCAACGTAACGTGAGGTTAGAAATAAGAGGCGTTTCTGCGGCATAAGATAGCGTTTCTAGTTCCTAATTATAATGTAAGCTAAAAGTTATACCAGTAATAAACGTTTCTAGTTCCTAATTGATTAAGACTAGATATTCACACATCAAGGTAAGGAACATAGTAATTGATTAAGACTAGGTATTGACACATCAAGGTGAGGGACATAGTAATTGATTAAGACTAGGTATTGACACATCAAGGTGAGGGATATAGTAATTGATTAAGACTAGGTATTGACACATCAAGGTAAGGGACATTTAATCAATTACTGACTAGGTATTGACACATCAAGGTAAGAGACATAGTAATTGGTTAAGACTAGATATTGACACATCAAGGTAAGAGACATAGTAATTGGTTAAGACTAGATATTGACACATCAAGGTAAGAGACATAGTAATTGGTTAAGACTAGGTATTGACACATCAAGGGAAGAAACATAATGGCTGCAATACGTATACAAATGCTCTACTATACAAAATTATAATAATAATAATTTGAAATCGTATCCAAACTTAAGAAATAGTTTCAATGCGACAACTCGCGCTGATGGTCTTCGTAAGGCTTGAAAGCAAGACAACCACTTACGACAGTTAAGTTTCGTGAGGGAAAGAAACGAGTGACACTACTTGAACAGATAATCAATGAAAGAATAAAGGATTTGAATCACGCATGAGAACAGCTTATCTTGTTTTGTACTTTAGATTCTGTAGTAGTTGCATACTGAATTTTCAACGCCATAATTGTATAAATAAACGACAACTAATTCCAAGAGTGCTGATATAATTTTGAGATTACATTATAATTAGGAACTAGAAACGTTTATTACTGATATAACTTTTAGATTACATTATAATTAGGAACTAGAAACGTTTATTACTGATATAACTTTTAGATTACATTATAATTAGGAACTAGAAACGTTTATTACTAGTATAACTTTTAGCTTACATTATAATTAGGAACTAGAAACGTTTATTATTAATACTCAGGACTATACTAAGGACTAGAAATGTTTATTATTGATATAACTTTTGGCTTACATTATCATTAAGGACTAGAAACGTTTATTATTAATATTCAGGACTATATTAAACACTAGAAATGTTTATTGTTGATATAACTTTTGGCTTACATTATCATTAAAGACTAGAAACGTTTATTATTAATATTCAGGACTATATTAAGGACTAGAAACTTTTATTATTGATATAACTTTTGGCTTACATTGTCATTAAGGACTAGCAATGTTTATTGTTGATATAACTTTTGACTTACATTATCATCAAGGACTAGAAATGTTTATTGTTGATATAACTTTTGACTTACATTGTCATTAAGGACTAGAAATGTTTATTGTTGATATAACTTTTGGCTTACATTGTCATTAAGGACTAGAAATGTTTATTGTTGATATAACTTTTGACTTACATTATCATCAGAGACATCTTATCACATACACACACAGTCAACAATAATTCCTAAAAAAAAGTAGGCTTATGAAATTCAAAAAACCAACAAACATTTTTCCTACCAGCCCCATATTTCCATATAATCTCGATATTTTTTAAGTTCTCTATATATCTTGCCTGTAAATTCCTATAATTGATAATTATCCCCTATATTCTCACAAAACGTTTTTAGCAATAAATGATAAAGCCTCCAAGGGGCACAGCGGTAAGTCTGAAGGCTTATAACGCTAAAAACCGGGTTTCGATACCCGTGGTGGGCACAACACACATAGCCCATTGCTTAGCTTTGTGCTTAACTTCAAACAAACAAACAGATAAATGTTTATATGTTTATTCATATGCCATTGCTTCTTAAGACACTAAATTTTGAAGTTTCACACCGTGAGTAACTATTACAATTGTTTTTCTTATGGCTTGTCATCTTTGTTGGAAGCTTAAGCGACTTTTAGCTTACACTCCAGAGCTATGGGCATAGAGTCAGAAAATGCTGGCAGAACGTGAAGAAAGCATATGTTGGTTTAGCATTGGATATCAGTTCACTTGAGGCTCAAATGAAAGGTGAATTTGGTGACGTCAAACTAAGGTAAATTCCTAACGGAAGGATAAGCCTAATGAAGAAGAACTGAGTAGAGAGGTGTTTGTAGTTCGATTAGATTTTAATTCTGAAAGTGCTTAAATTCATTGTTTTGATTTGAAACCATCTTTGAGCCTGAAATGATTTTGAACGTCACTTGAAGACCTTGATTATGAATTTTCAAATGATTTCGACTTGAAAGTAAGAATATTTGAACACTGGTTAAAAAAAGTTGATTAGACTAGCAATACTTCATACTAAATAATAAATAATAAAGCTATTGAAAAAGGAAATAAAAAATATTGAATATTCTGTTGTATATTGTAAAATGTTTTTAAACTTTTTTCATTTGATCTAAAATTGAGGAAACGTTTTGTGTTCTCCTTTAGCTCATCACCACATGATGAATCACGAAGCTTGTATCACATCATATATGTATGTCTTTAACATGTTTACTTTGCTACAATATATTTAATTGCTACTTTAATGAATAAGAATGTATCATACATGATATAATTTATTGATATCTATTAAAATTATATGAAATTAAATAGCCTACCTTCCTTAAAGGCTGAAAGTTTTTTTTCTTTTTTTAAATGGGACTAGACGTTGCAAATGTGAATTAAAGACATGCGCTTGTTTGTGTGTTCCATAAATTCATAGTTATCTTATGATGGTATAGTTTCTCACCAGTGAATTAACATGCTGCATCACGGGAAGTGTACATTTCAAGACCTGCGATTGGGCAAGTGAGACATTAATGGACACCAAACTCAAAAATTAAACAACTCGTAATTTTTTTGCAAAATTCTCCACTAAAACTTTTCATTTGAAAACTCTGGGGTGTCTCAGGTAAAAAAAAAAAAAAAGCAACGCCGAAGGTTCACATTTGCAGAACAAGTTAAGATCCGTTTTGACAAGTCTCAATCAATCTTGAGCAGCAGTGTAGACAAGAACAAAGAGGAATGCTGCAATCAGGATACACTACCAGAAGCTGCTCCTTCAGTCTCTGTGTTCTTACACTACCAGAAGCTGCTTCTTCAGCCTGTATATTCTAGTCCCATGACTCTAGCCAAATTATTCATCTCCAAACAAACCTAGCAACAGAAATCAGAGAAGAAGAAGAAACACTGTGTACAATGAGTGTAGCAAGTAATAAGTTTTCATTTGCGTTATGTAAAGATGTTGTTAATATAACCTAGGACCCTCACCTCCTAAAGAAGCTGGTGGATGACTCCCCAAAAGAGTAATTCAGGATACACTATATTGTATTGTGAAACTACCACTGATGAAGATATGAAGCAAATTGATGGGATTAGATATTGATCAGAAACATAAAAACTAGGTTATTAGGAAATATCTTGTGATCTTCCATGTTAATCATGACAAAGAAAAGCGTGTATTAGGATGTATCGTGAATTTTCTTCAAGGAAGAAATAGTCTTTCCTTTGAAGTTTTTATGAGTGTATCAAATGGTGATCCAAACCTCAACTAAATCATATGAAATTAAAGCAGCGATGTTTTGAAGGAAGATGTATGCCTTTCTATCAAAGTTCTACCAGCAACATTCTACTGTGGAAATAAAATTTTCAATGTGAAAAAAATAAGTGAGAAGAGGATCCAAACATGATTCATTACAATGACTTCTCTATACAGATAAGTTTTCTCATTTTGTTGTTTTTTTATAAATGATATGCACTTCACATGCCCTATTTTTTAGATAATTTATCTATATTATCCCAGTATTTTTAAATAGATTCCGCTATATAAAGCCCTGTGTTTTGCCCAGAATTTGGTGGGAGGCCTGTGGATCATGTAACATATTTTATTTCTGTTTCTTAGCAGGGCAGAATATATATAGCTATAAATATTTCTGTTCTCACTAAACGTGACAGTCAATGTACCAGAATGTCATTTTCTTACCGAAGTAGATCATATGTTGAACAATGTCACGTCTGTTATTCATATTTCTTCCAGGGCTTAAGTTATGATGAATCGTGTAACATGTACTATTTCTATTTCTTAACATGATGGAATATACAATATAATATATATGTAATATATATGTAACGTGTAATATTTATATCAATCAACAAGAAACGATACATGGTATATTACATAACGTGTAACCTATTTATCAATTAACAGATTACAACGTATGATGAATTATATATATATATATATATATATATACATTTGTAATTTTATGTCGATTGTACAAATCAAAAATATAACATGCAATTATTCTCTTTCTTTAAGACAGAACATCAAATAAATTGTGTGTTATTCCTGTTTTCTTTCTTATCGTCTTAGATATCATGGATCATGTATTCAATCCTGATAAGCAAGTAAAATAACACACCCTGTACGATCCATCATGTCCAGGGGACATATATGTATTCAATCCTGATAAACAAGAAAAATAACACACACTGTACGATTCATCATATGCAGGGGACATATATGTATTCAATCCTGATAAGCAAGAAAAATAACACACACTGTACGATCCACCATGTCCAGGGGACATATATGTGTTCAACCCTAATAAACAAGAAAAATAACACACACTGTACGATCCATCATATGCAGGAGACATATATGTATTCAATCCTGATAAGCAAGAAAAATAACACACACTGTACGATCCATCATGTGCAGGGGATATATATGTGTTCAATCCTGATGGAAAATATATATCATGATATCATACACAATAAATAGGAACATTCTATTTAGGTAAGAAATATGACTATATGGTTGTTAAGATGAAATGGAAATATTGCATGATGTAACACCTGTTGTATATTTTTTCTTAGAAAATAAAACAAAACAAAAACTCTTCATATAACTTACTTTATATGCTTTACACAGTAAAAAAACAGAAGTATTACTTCTGCCTGTAACGTAGGCAGAACATTAATGAATCATGCAAAGTGAAAATTTTGCTACTAATTAAGGTACAATGTAAAAATAAATCAAGTAACCAACAGCATTTCGGTTGCTTACTAGAACAAAAATTGTGATGAATCATAAACCGTGTATTATTTCTTTTTGTCACTGGAACAGAACAATGATGTGCCATGATTCGTGGCACATCATTTCAATCTATTGTATCTTCTACATTAATTCAACTTGTAGATTTAAAGTATTATGTCCAGCTAACTCTTTTCGCACTTTGGGAGCTAGCACGACGAAACTTGGCAAACATGCTCAGGTAGTACCACGAGTGGTATTTTATGCTACTATATGAAATGTACAAATGATAAATTATTTCAAGATTAATATTTGTATTTATTACCAACGAAGAACGTGAGATGAATCATTTTACAAGTACTATTTCTGTTGTTGTTATTTTTTTGGCACAATATTGAAAGTATCATCTAGCTTTGACATTTTTTGCCTTTTACTGAGAAAGAGAATAAATTGGATCAATTTCTGTGTGATATTTCTCCTGGTCGTGAGTAGTAGCCTATACGATCACCTAAGTCTAATTATTAATGATTTATTTCTTTATTACTAGATACTAATTACTAACTATCTTATATCCCACGTTTCGAAAACATTCAGACGATTAACTGATTCAACAGGGGTATCTAAGTTTTGCTGACTCCAATATTGGTTGACTGAATATGGATGTAGAAGACTTTTATTTTTTTATTTTTTTCTAGCGTGGAATTAATAGTTAATTACTTTTTGGTTTCTTCATTCAGTACGAATATTATATATGATATTTTTGCTCTCCATTACGTCTTTAGACGGTTTGGTGTGTGCTTCAATACATTGGAGGAAGAAAAAGTCAGAACTTAGGGTCATAATAAACATACAAAACTCTGTGATACAAAACTATCTGAAGTAGCAAAGAGTGTCAGAGAAAATCATACAGGAATATTACGATTGTTTTTCCTGAGGCACAATACACCCTCTACCAATAAGTAAATAAACACTCACTTCAGAAAGAATGACGTTTTATTAAATAAACAAATCACGAAACAAAGGGAACAAGATTACCATCAGTATTTAGTGGGTCTGACCTTTGTAATATTTAAGACAGAAATACAGTTATATGTCTAATTTACAAGATCTGGAATCTGCGACTGTGAATTGAACACTGCTTCTGGCAAAAAAACAAAACATGGATGAGAGTTGTTTAGGTTGCTTTCTCAGAAACAATTAGACGTTCTACACCGTTAGTTGCTTATAAGATTCTGGAATTGGAGTTTTTAACCTGAAAATACCTTATGTACATTTGGGACATATTAGAGTTTGTTTGGTTTGTTATGAATTTCGCACAAAGCTACACAAGGGCTATCTGCGTTAGCCGTCCCTAATTTAGCAGTGAAAGACTATAGGGAAGGCAGCTAGTCATCACCACCCACTGCCAACTCTTGGGCTACTCTTTTACCAACGAATAGTGGGGTTGACCGTCACATAATAACGTCCCCACGGCTGAAAGGGCGAGCTTGTTTGGTGGGATGCAGATTGCGAATCGAGCGCCCTAACCACCAGGCCATGCCAAGTCGACATCTTAGAGGCTCCTATAGTTCAAGGATAAGATTTCATAACTTTAAACTACTGACCAGGAGTTTGTACTAATCAATCGAACTCCGGAAACATTAATCCGCAGGCCGACACTACAACCATTAGGACTACTCTCAGGTAAGATTGTTTATTGTTAGGATACATCACCTAACGGATGATGTAATGCTGATGTTTAGTTGTTTTTTTAATACAACTATAAGCTGTGCGATGAAAGATGTAAAATGTTTCGCGACGATGAACCACCTGCTTTATGAATTAAAGTTTAATATTTTTCTGTTGATAAAACTCTACTGTGTTTTGAAAGGTGCGATAGTTTTAACGAAGAAGGAACGTTTGATGTATGATCTAAAGTGTAATATTCTCTTGTTGTAAGATGTGATATTTTTCACGAGGATGAAACGCCTGATCTATGATATAAATAATAATATTTTTGGATTAATAAAACTCTCCTGTGCGTTTTACGATGTGTGAGCGTAAAACATGAACTATGATGCAAGAAGCATTATTGTTGTTGGACGCAATATCCTAGCAAACTTCACTAATACAAAATGTTTATCGTATAAGAAGGGTGTAGATGACAAAATACATTTGTGTGACGTCAGGTGTAAATTGAAAACAATTCTAGTGCATGATGCAATAGGACATAAAATTTAGCGCAAGATCCTACATTTCAGTCTTTTAAACAAAACAGAACATTTAATGCATTACGTCATGTTTTTATATTATTAACAGAACAGAGATCTAAAGCATATTGCCATACTTTTATATTGTTAAGAATACAGAACATCTAGTGCAATACGTTATATTTTATTATTGTTAACAGTACAGAACATTTAGCGCAAGATCCTACATTTCAGTATTTTAAACAAAACAGAACATTTAATGCATTACGTCATGTTTTTATATTATTAACAGAACAGAGATCTAAAGCATATTGCCATACTTTTATATTGTTAAGAATACAGAACATCTAGTGCAATACGTTATATTTTTGTATTATTAACAGGACAGAACATCTAGTGCAATACGTTATATTTTATTATTGTTAACAGTACAGAACATTTAGCGCAAGATCCTGTATTTCAGTATTTTAAACAAAACAGAACATTTAATGCAATACGTCATGTTTTTATATTATTAACAGAACAGAAGATCTAAAGCATATTGCCATACTTTTATATTGTTAAGAATATAAAATAGTATTATTAACAGGACAGAACATCTAGTGCAATACGTTATATTTTAGTATTGTTAACAGGACAGAACATTTAGTGCAGTATTTCATATTTTTGTTGTTAACAGAACAGAATATCTACCGTATGACGTCATACTTTCACATTGGTAACAGGAATAAAATCTGTTTTAGGATGTTATGTTTTTGTATATTTAAAAATACAGTGCATCTAGGGCAATGCCTTATATTTTTGTACTGCAAACAGGATATCAAAACCAATCATCTAATGCAAGATATGATATTTTTCCATTGTTAACAGGACAGCCACTGCAAGAGACAAAGCAGAACAAGCGGACGTTGCTGCCAAGAACGCAATAGAAGAATCTAATTTTGCAAGGATAATCGGAAAGCAGTTTGCTCCAGAATTTCAGCAGCCAGGTACAATATCTTAAATATTCTTACTGTTTATCGTTAGTTTAAGAATGTCATCATTAGCAAGAACATGAATTAAGGAAAGTTACTCAAAGTTCATCAATTTTCCTTAGTCTTCAGTGTTTACTATACTTCGCCGTCTACCTTCGCTGTGGTTGAAACATTAAAAAGTGTTACAAAAGAAGAGAAAAAAACAGGATGGGGGCTGAGCCTTACACGTTGAGTTTCAAATTATAATGAGATGTACTGATACTCATGCTTATGTGTTCATAGTTACTACTGTCATCAATGTTCATAATTATAATACTGTCATTAATGTTCGTAGTTACTACTTTCATCAATGTGTATAGTTGCTACTGCCATCAATGTTCATAGTTACTACTTTCATCAATGTTTATAGTTACTACTGTCATCAATGTTCATAATTATAATACTGCCATTAATGTTTATAGTTACTACTGTCATCAATGTTCATAATTATAATACTGCCATTAATGTTCATAGCTACTTCTTTCATCAATGTTTATAGTTACTACTGCCATCAATGTTCATAGTTACTATTGTCATCAATGTTCATAGTTACTACTTTCATCAATGTTTATAGTTACTACAGTCATCAATGTTCGTACTCACTACTGTCATCACCATTTATAGTTACTACTGTTATCAATGTTCATAGTTACTACTGCCATCACCATTCATAGTTACTACTACCGTCAACGTTTGGCTACTACTGCCATCAATGTTTATAGTTACTACTACCATCAATGTTTATAGTTACTACTGCCATCAATGCTCATAGTTACTACTGCCATCAACGTTCTTGGCTACTACTGCCATCAATGTTTATAGTTACTACTGTCATCAATATTCGTAGTTACTACTGTTATCAATGGTCACAGTCACTGCTGTTATCAATGTTCACAGTTACTACTGGCATCAACGTTCACACTTACTACTCTCATCAATGGTTGTAACTATTCTATTTATGCTAATATATTGGAGATCTATGGCTGTATTTTACTTAAGCTGTTGTGTGATAGATCTGTGGCTGTAAATATTTTACTTATGCTAAGGTTTTGGTGATCTATGGTCGTATTTTACTTAAGCTGGTGGGTTGGAGATCAATGGTTTTAACTATTTTATTCATGCTAATGTGTTGGAGACCTATGGATTTAAGTATTTTACTTATGCTAAGGTTTTGGTAATCTATGGTTGTAAATATTTTACTTAAGCTGTTGTGTGATAGATCTGTGGCTGTAAATATTTTACTTATGCTAATATGTTGGAGAATTATGGTTGTAAGTACTCCACGAATGTTTATATGCTGGAGGACGACATAGCATTTAAATTGATTATACGTTATAAACCACTTTTTCTAGGGAAACACAATTTCGTCAGAAACCTACTGGCAACCATCAGTTTTATGAAGAAAACTTTGTACATGATACATGGTGTACAGAGAAATGTCACAGAATCTGTTCGATTACTTTTCCAGGCATCTCAATCAGCATATTATGCCTTTCCCAACTGAACTTACTGCAGACGTCATTTGTCCCAGACATGTTCATTAATCCCCATAATTCTATATTAATGACTGTTTTCGTGTCTTCCAAACTTCCTCAGGGCATTCCATCTGACGGAACTCCAGAGCCGAGAATCTGTTGGTGCAATGTCTCGCTGGACATTTCTGCCTGAACGGACGGTTTATAATTCTGTCAAATCTTGTAAATGATGATAGATACGAGGGGTTGTCCCGTGTTATTGGAAGGGGATGTTTTCAAACACATACCTCCTTGAAATGCGATTTCGTTATACAGCATGTCCAAACTTTCCTTAAAACTAATATAACTCTCAACGTTTCTCTGGTGAAACTTTGTTTTTCTAGGACAAACGGTTCTTAGAGCATAATTATTCTAATTATTACGTTTTCTATATAACAACTCTGTACTTTAATCTTAAGTTTATGTCTTGAAGAACATATGTTATATATACTTTAAACTAATGTTGACCTGCTGGATAGCTGTGTTTGTAAATATTTTAAACTTATGTTAACCATAATGAAGATCTGTGGTTGTTTGTTTGTTTTATAGCAAAACCACATTGGGCTATCTGCTGTGTCTACGGAAGGAAATCTAACCCCGGATTTTAGTGTTGTAAGTCCGTAAACTTACCGTTTACCCACAGGGGAACACTCTGGTTGTAAATATTGTATTTTTAATAAAGTGCTCGAGAACATTGGTTGGAATACCTTACGAATAATCGTGGTTTGGGAGACCATAGTTGTAGTGAACCTATGTTAGCGTGCTGGGGGGTTATGGTAGTATTTTACTTATATTCACGTGCTGGGGGACTATAGTAATAAGTAAGAGCAGGTTGGCCCTTTGGTAGAGCTCTGGATTTCGGAGATGGTGAGCCGTATTCGAATTCATGCGACACCACAAAATACCTCCTCTCTAACTTACGTTATAAATGTGAACGTCAGTTCCTTAGCATGGATGGTGGATAGTAGAATGTTGGTAACTGTCTGCTTTTCCTCTGTTCAGTAGTTCAAAACTAGGGACGATAGCAAACACCCTTAGTAGCTGTACCATCATGTTCACATGCCGGATTACTGTGGTTGTAAACATTTTACTTATGTTCAGTAGTTCAAAACTAGGGACGATAGCAAACACCCTTAGTAGCTGTACCATCATGTTCACATGCCGGATTACTGTGGTTGTAAGCATTTTACTCATGTTCAGTAGTTCAGAACTAGGGACGATAGCAAACACCCTTAGTAGCTGTACCATCATGTTCACATGCCGGATTACTGTGGTTGTAAACATTTTACTTATGTTCAGTGGTTCAAAACTAGGGACGATAGCAAACACCCTTAGTAGGTGTAAAATGTGTAATAAAGAAAAATCTCACATAAAGTTTATCATGTTAAAAACTAACTATCTGGATTCATTGTATACAAAAATTAACTGTAATTATATTAACTTCGTTGATGAATATGCTTGTCATTTCAGCCGTGCGAGCGTTATAATGTGACGATTAATCACATTTTTTAGTAAAAGAGTAGTTCAAGAGTTGGCGATGGTTGTTGTTTACCGGCTGCCTTTCCTCTAGTCTATCAGTTCTAAATTAGGAACGGCTAGGACAGATAGCCCTCGAGAAGCTTTTCGCGAAATTCGATAAAACAAACAAACAAACAGACGATATTCTCACTTAAACATTTAAAATTCCCAAGTTACAGATCAAGTCGCGTGTATGTGATGTTGAATTTCTCCTCTTACTTTCGGTGATTATTATAGTCTATTTTAACCAGACAAATAAATTTCACAAAAACAAATTCCTTAGTTCCTCATAACAAACATCTGTAGTAACTTTAAGAGGAGGTAAGGAAAATACGTAACTCTTTTCGAAGTAGAAGCTTGTTTCTGTTCTCTAGTTTTCTTTTGTAGTTTCCAACAAGGATTTTTGCGTAGCTGTTTACTATATATATTTAGATGCTAATGTATCCTCCCTCATTAAATGTGTTTGAACCCGAGTGTGGTACCATATCTCTTTGAGTAACAACAGATCTCACTTCTGTAAAATTCCGTTCTTGGCCTATACATACCCCCCTGTCTCCTTTAGTACGAGCAGCCAAAGGAAAAATTTCATCTAAAATTAGCTGTCGTAACTCCCTAGAGCCAGAAATAAGTTCCGAACAAGCTGAGGTGTAGTCGTACGGTTCAGCTCTAGTTCTCTCTTTACTGCACTGAGGATCGTTCGTTCAAGTCTTCTCCCGTCTCCGGTAAGGCTAGTTATTTTTTTTCTGACTTTTTCGCTGGTTCTGAGTTCTCCTTGTGTTTGACAAAGCTCTCCTTCTTGATCTAGACGATAACATAAATATTTTATAGTATTTAACATTCATTGTTTACCAACCCAAATCATACCCGTAACTGAAGCCTTAAAGCATAAAGTAGAACGTGTTATTAGCCATTATCGGTCTGTATTGTTAGTGAAACTAGCTTGAATATTGTTGTTTTTATATCTTTGTTCACGACGTTCGGTACGTGTATGAAGACTATAGATTTACCATTAAGCTAGCCAACGTAGTATCTTTCAGGGCTATTTTGTACAAAGAGTCTGCTGTTGTGCGATCAAGTGTAAGAACTATAATTGAATTGGACGAAAAATATTCAACGTACGTTTTAGAATTTTAAGAACAGGTTACACCGACCGAAACGTCTGTAGCGCGTACGTCACAGGTCGTCCTTCGTAATCCACAGATTTATTACTTTCGAATGTAAAATCAATGAACTTTGTTTCCTTCATTTGCGTTTTTAACTGATTTGAAATGAGACTGATCTATATAATTGAATGGGCAAATAATAAATTGTTTTGAAGTATACAAGCGGTCTTCATAATAGTGTAATTTAAAGAATCAATGATAAATCTAAGAAGGCTTATGGCTACTGTAGCGAGTCGGGTTTTGCCTAGTTTTTAACGTGCCTGGCTGTGGGTCTGAGGGTCCAAGATTCGTATCCCGTTATCAGAAAGAAACAGAAAATTATACTCCACACAGTTCACAATAAGGGACGGCTAGCTCGGGTAGCTTTGCAGGAACATTTGAAACCAACAAAACATAGTAACGTGTAGCATGGCTTACAAACAAATGAGAGAGAGGCGTATGAGGGAAATATTTGATGAATTTGAGCATCAATTAAAAACGTACCTTTTTATGGCTCAAGAATGTGATAAGAGAATAAAAGGCTTATGGAACAAATAGTGCTTTTTACCGGCGTTCACTCGACATCACCAATTGTTTGAAAATATTACAGGGTCTAAAAGAGAGGCCTTACGTTGATTAAAGCATTACAATGTATGGGAGAGGTAACAGTGAGGTGACAGGGAAGCATTCGATTAGTGTAGTTATGAAAAGGCTTAGATAAGCTTGTATTGATATGAGATGGAGCCGTTCGTGTGTTTGGAAAGGCTAAAAGGTGTAGCTTTCGCGTAGTGTAAGCAAGAGC